TGTTAGTTATACATGGACACAATATCTTTATTTTGTTTGTTTAGTTTTATGTGGTGCTGAGAATCAAACCCAGTGCCTCACATGTGCGAGGCAAGCACTCTGCAACTGAGCCACAACTCCAGCCCAGTCCTACTGTTTCTGAGGCACAAGTTTACTTCTCCTTCCCCACTTCACACTCTCCTACACTGTCCTCCGTACCTTATATCTCTGGTGTGCAATCTTCAAGTGATGCAATAAAGTTGTCTGCACCTACTTTGGAAGCAGCATAGTAACTCTTGCTGTGAGGGTCATGGGTTCTTAGGAAGAGTGGTGTGGGCAGCTTGCAGAGTGATGGTAAGCCTTTCCCCCAGGCCAGCATTTATACCTATCTCCACAGGCAAAGTGTGGCACTTTTCACAGCCATAGTGTAGTGTTGGTAGCACTTTGTATGTTTAAAATTATGGAAACATCCATGTTCCTTATGGGTGTGTGATGAACTAATTTTGTCTAAATTTTTTATATTTTGTTGCTAACACTAAGTCAAATGGTGAGTGAAACTGAGCCTTAGAATGAATTTAAAATATTGGTTGGCTATTGAACTCTTTGAAAGACACTGTTCTTCACTCCAGCCCTTAAAGGAGCAGATGCTTTACTGTCTGGCACTCAAGGAAGTTTTCTTGTATCATTTTGAAGACAACACAGATTAGTTGAGTACCTAATGATTGAATATAGAATAAAACATATCTTCATTTTCTTTCAAAAAATAACAAAATAAAAAGGACAAAAGGAAAGAATGAAGAGAGAAAAGAACAGGTTAGTAGGACAGTGGATTAAATTGAAAAAAAATGACATTTTAAAATTAGAAATAGGCAGACAGAAGACATAAGGTGAGGACAAACACTTAAAATATTAATTCAGAAGTTTTGCATACTTTTACAGGCCTGTCACGCCCCGAACCATTCTCTCTTTCCATGCCTGACTTTTCTACATTCCTAGGAAATCTGTAAATCATTCAATCTAAAATGACATTGTTGATTTGCTTTCTGCCGGCTGTCTTGATGGCTATGGCTACATTGTCCGGCAGCCGCACCTAGAGGTTGGAGCTGGGCTGCGTGCCGAGCCCTGTCCTCCAAAGGCTGGACCGCAGCCTTGAGTGCCTGGGTCGCCTGTTCGCCCCTGCACCCTCAGGCAGAGCCTGATTTGGGGTCGTTCTGCATGCCCCTGCGAGGGGACCCGTGCTTCAGAGGAGGGAGCCGGAGAGCCGCAGCGGCAGCCGCTTGGGCCCCGGGGGCTGGGCACCGGTCGGCGGTGCAGCTACGATCGCAGACGAGCGCGGCGCCCCTGAGCGTGGTCCCGGGGAAGAGGCGACAGTGGCAGGGTTTAATTTCTAGAAAACTAGACTGGAAACAGAAGCAGCAGTTTGTATAATCCCAAGAACTTGCTTATGCCAGGAAGCTGTAAGGGCCACATGAATATCATTGAGGAGATCTAACATGGCAGCGAGCGGGGAGAGATCAAGTCTCTGACCTCTTCAACTGCGCGGGCATAGGGAGCTGTAAACTGTATAAATGCAGTTTGCTCAGGATCACTAGGCAATGCTGAGCTGACGTGGATCTGGGGTGTACAGTCTGGGCCCCTCAGAACACACACACCGAGCCCGGATCGGCTGCATTCAAGCTCCGGTTCGCCTGCTTCTCTTGACTCAGCACTAAGGATCCCTCTGAAATAACTGGTTGGCCCTTAGGAACTTTCAGAGGTAAAAACCAACCGAGCCTTCATAGGTAGTGGCCACAGGATTGAAACGGGGATTGGGAGAGACAGTCAGGACCCACCCATTGCATTGGTCACCCGGCAAAGGGAACGAATGGTCACCATTTACATGTGATACCACCTTGGCAGAGAACTGACGTCACTGGCGGAGGAGATAACTGCATTGAAACCAGCGCAACAGGGCTCCCAGGAGCAGCAGACATGGCGTGTAGCCAGTATTGTGGTGAGCCTCACAGGTGAGCGCGGCCTGGCTTGAGGAAACAAAAGAGAAGGCCCTAGGCACTCAGGATTGGAGACCCGCCCAGTCTGTGAGGAAGAGCTGCTACACAGTGATTGGTTCCCACTTAGTGAGAGGAGAAGCTTGACCCAGTGGGCAGAGCTCCACCTACTGGAAGAGAAATTAATCGAACTCTATGACTGCATTTATTATTATTATTATTATCATTTTTTTTCTTTTTCTTTTTTTTCTTTCATTTTCAATTTTTTATTGTTGTTGTTCTTTAACTTTTTTATGTTTCTAATTTTTTTAAACTTTTTAAATTATTATTGTAATTTTTTTAATTTTAATTTTCATTACTTTTATTATCATTATTATTTTTGTAAAAAAAATTTTTTTCTTTTCTTTCTTTCTTTCTTTTCTAACTTTTTTTTGTGTTTTGTTTTTGTTTCTTTTGTCTTTTCATTTCTTTACAATTTTCTTATTCCCCCTTCCTTGAATTCTACCTGCCTACTCTCATTCTCTTTAGTGACTTCATCCCTTCCCTTCTAATATCTTTCCTCCCAAGCATCAAATAAATTTATAAGAGTAAACAGTAACTCAGCAGTCAAACAGAACAAGAAGTAACATGAGCAGCATAAAAAAGCAAGGAAGAAAAGGGGTACAAACAATGAAGGACAGCCTAAATATTCAGGAGGACCTAGAGTCAGCAGAAAAATGGTCATATAAAGAACTCAAGGAACACCTTAGACTGATGGAATGGAACCTTAAAGAGGATACGAGACAGCAAATCCAAACAGTGAAAGAACACTTTGAAAATCAATTACATAAACAGATAAAAGAAGAAGTTAAGCATCTTTATCAGGAGATAGAGATTATTAAAAAAAAAAAAAATCAAACAATAATTCTAGAAATTAAGGAAATGATAAACCAAATTAAAAACTCAATTGAGAGTATCACTAACAGAGTGGAGCAAGTAGAAGCCAGAACATCAGATAATGAAGACAAAATATATCATCTTGAAAAGAGCCTAGCCAACTCAGAAAGGCTGGTTAAAAATCACGAAAGAAACATCCAAGAGATAGGGGATAACATAAAAAAAAACAAACCTACAAGTTATCGGGATAGAAGAAGGTAAAGAGATTCAAACCAAGGGAATGAGTAGCCTGCTGGATGAAATAATTACAGAAAACTTTACAGAAATAAAAAAGGAAACGTATATACAAATTGTAGATGCATACAGGACACCGAGCACAAAAAATCACAGTAGACCAACGCCAAGACCCATTGTTATGAAGATATCCAATATACAGACAAAGAGAAAATATTAAAAGCTACAAGAGAAAGGAGGCAGATTACATTCAGGGGTAAACCAATAAGGTTAACAACGGATTTTTTATCACAGACGCTGAAAACTAGAGGATCCTGGAACAACGTATTTCAAACACTGAAAGACAATGGATGCCAACCAAGAATTCTGTATCCAGCAAAATTAAGCTTCAGGTACGACAACAAAATAAAAATCTTTCATGATAAACAAAAGCTAAAAGAATTTGCAGCCAGAAAACCAGCATTGCAAAGCATCTTGAGCAAAACACTACACGAGGAAGAAATGATGAAAAACAATAACCAAAACCATCAGTGGGAAGTGCTTCTATAAAAACAGAGGGCGGGGGGAAAGCTAACCATGGAGAAACAAACTAAATTAAATTAAAAAAAAAAAGAAGATAAATAATCAAACATGGCTGGAAGTACAAACCATATATCCATAGTAACTCTATACGTTAATGGCTTAAACTCTCCAATAAAGCAACATAGGCTGGTAACATGGATTAAAAAAACAAATCCAACATTATGCTGCCTCCAGGAGAAAGGTAGGTAGAATACAACAGTTACTAATAGGGCGTTATATAAAAATGTAGATGTGTAACTGACGTGATTCTGCAATCTGTATTTGGGGTAAAATTGGGAGTCCAAAACCCACTTGAATCAAATGTATGAATATTTCTCTCCTTATTTATTTTCCCATTCCCCTCACAACCTCTTATATGTAATTTTGTATAACAATGAGGTTCTCCCTCCATCACCATGCAATTTCCCTTTTCTCTCCCTTTCCCTCCCACCTCATGTATCTGTTGAATGTTAATCTTTTCTTCCTGCTCTTCCTCCCTGCTTTGTTCTTAGTTGCTCTCATTATATCAAAGAAGACATTTGGTATTTGTTTTTTAGGGATTGGCTAGCTTCACTAAGCATAATCTCCTCTAGTGCCATCTATTTCCCTGCAAATTCCATGATTTTGTCATTTTTTAATGCTGTATAATACTCCATTGTGTATAAATGCCACATTTTTTTTATCCATTCATCTATTGAAGGGCATCAGGGTTGGTTCCACAGTCTAGTCATTTAGAGAGAACAATCATTACTGTGAATTTCAATAAAAAATGTACAAAATGTTCTAATTTTACTATCTAAGTAGTCAGATACTGGCAAGGTCTTTAACATATAGAGACTAGGTATTGCAAAATTGCTGCTCATTTGACCATTATATGCACTATATTCTCAGCAAAACAAAATGACCAAAAATACATAAAACTGATGTTTGAAAATGTCCATGTATGAACACACTAACATATTTTGCAATTGTTTCTTCCCACCTCCTCCATATCCTTGGGATGCTTTTAAGATTTCCTCTTTATCACTGGTTTTAAACAATTTGATTATGAAGTGCCTTGGTGTAGTTGCCTTTATGTTTCTTGTTTGGAGATCTGACATATTTGTGGGTTTATAATTTTAATAAATTTTGGAAAACTTTCATCTATTATTTCCATGACCATTTTTCATGTCTCCACCTCTCTTGCTCTTCAAAAATTCCAATTCCATGCACAGGAAGCTGCCTAAAGTTGTATCATAGTTCACTTATGCTATATTCACTTTATTTTTATTTTTCTGCATCTTTTTTTAATGGTTTCTATTGCTAGGTGCTCAAGTACACTGATATTTCCTTGTGCTCTTCTTAGCTTTGCATTAATCCTATGTAGGAGAGCATGAACTCAGTTCCCACTATCACAAATTATGCAGTAGAGTTTCCCACATTTGAGGAAATCACAGGGATCAGATTGTCTAGAATGCAATGAAAATGCCTCGCCCTGGGAAAAACCACCTTTGTGATCATAGTATCTTCCCTTCTAGGTAAGTATTCTAGTGCATTTCTTTATCAGACATTATATTTTCCTTTATAAATTTTGCTTTGGGATCTTTTATATGTCTTTTATGTTGCTACTTAACTTTTTAACATATGAATACAATTATAAAAACTTTTAATTGCCTTGTCTACTGATCAGTTCTCTGTCAATTGATTATTCTTTTCATGGTGGGTCTGATTTTCCTACTTCTCTTCATTACTGGTAATAATTTTGGAAGCACAATATTGTGAATTTTTTACTGTTGGATTTCGGATATATTTATATTCCTAAAAATATTCTTGAACCTTGATCTGAAGTGAATTGAATTTGAAGTTACTTGGAAACAGTTTGGTCCTTCTACATCTTGCTTTTAACATTTCTTATACTGGACCAGAAGAGAAGTTTAGTCTATTGATAATAATTTCCCACTATGTTGAAGCAATATGCTTCTGTGTACGCTATTCCATGCTATATGCACTATGATATTTTCCAGTCAGGCTTGTGGGAACAGGTATTATTTCTGGACCTGTGTAAATATTTAGTAATTCCTTTACAATCATTTTATGTTGATCTCTCCCCAGTCTCATCACTTGTCCCCACACATGCTTTATGATCAATAGTCTGCTGAATACCCAACAGGGAACCCTCGGTAGATCACCAGGCTGGAAAAATGTGGCAGAGAAGAAATCAGAAAACTGAAGTACAACTCTACTCACCATTGCTAAACATAAGGGCATGTGATGAGCATGAAGAAGAATGCTAGCTATATCTAGGTGTAAGTAAAAGCCCCTAGCTGACAGTCAACAAAGAAAAGAAGGACCTCAGTCCTACAACTGACAAAACTGAATTCTGCCAAAAACTTGAGTGAGCTTGGAAGCAGATTATTTCCCCATAGCCTCTAGAAGTAAATGCAGTCCTGTCAACATCTGTTTCAGTATTGTGAAGTCCAGAGCAGAAGACCCCTGTGAAATGTACTCTACTAGACTTCTGACTTACAGAACTGAGATAACAAAATGCCTAAGTTTATGGTGATTTTGCTATAGCAGCAGTAGAAAACTAACACCCCCAAGAGGAGTATTTTGGTATATTTGGGCTTGAGCAATTCATGTTTTTGTCTGGACTTTGCCATGATTATGGAGTAGTCTTGATTTTATTTGCATGGTTACAGAGTGATATCATCTAATGTTGATGATATACAAAATTGTGTATGTTAAATGGGAGAACACGGAGAGTTTGTTGTGAGTGTGCGGCAAACTTGTAGTCACACCAAAACAGAAGAGATAGTACCAGGCCAGCTTCTGGATATAGAAAGTTGATTTTATTGCTATTGTTTTTGCTGTTTGTTTGTGTTTCTCAGCGTTTATGTACTGAGCTGCCTGCTAATTTTATTCATCCTAACTTTAAAACACACTACTCAAATTAATGATTCAATGAAATTACAAACCATTACATGCTGTGGTTCTTTAGGTTAATTATAACCATAAATGTTAAATCTTCCAGTATCAAGGTATGCTGTTAAGAAATCTGGATATCATTCAAGGAATTAACGGTTATATTTCAGTGCTAAGTATGGTTAGAATATAGAGATCAGGGGAGAAATTATAGGTGTCAAAATGAATGCAATCTGGCTTTTAAAATCAATTTACTTATTTTTCACATGTAGTGAAAATTAGTCCCATTTATAACAAATAGAAGTGGATAACTGTGGGAAATATTGTTTATGTTTTAAATAGATCTTCTCATTATCATTATAATTTTTAAGACAGGAGAAAGAAATACAGCACTGAAATATACTCCATTAAAATATGCTCCATGTAATTATTACCTTAGTTATTTATTCATTATTATACAGGGTGAAATTGGCACTGTATTATACAAAATACCTATAAAGATACTAATCTCTTTTTCCTACAATATATGTAGAATTCATAGATTCATCATAAGAATGAAACTGTTCATTCTGATTATCAAAGGAAATTCAAATATTACAGGCACATCTTACAATTCACTAGGATCTCCAGATCAGCCCCCAACTGACCATCATGTAATCTCTGAAAATAGTATGGAATTTCTAAAATTTTATCTGGTTTAATTCATTTTTTCTACTTCTACTGATCTCTGTGAGTTCAAACATGACCTCCAAAGATATTCTAATATTTGAGTGAGAGTTGACACCTTCATTCTAGATATTTAGCTAATCTGTCCCTATTCCATTGTCTGGTTAATTGTCAGAATAAATAATGTACATGTTATGTTTTTCAGGCACAAATAGTTATGATGAATTTATTTTGAAATAACATTTATATTATTAGTTACATATTTTATACTTAGAATAAATTACTCTAGTTTCACTGAATAGTAATAATTAAGATTTATTATTAATTTTATTTTCCATATTCCAAATTTGTTCTAATGGGAAATCTAAGAAATTTAGAAACTTAGGCCAATGGGACCAAGTTAAATTAATAAAGGATTAAAATATCTGACATATTAGATATTTTCCAGGACATTTTTTCAATGGTATGCTAAATCCATTCAAGATGACAAGTAGTCTTAAAGGAAGCATTCATGAGTTATTAACACAACAGTACAGTCTTTTCCTCATTAATACAACAATACATTCTTTTCCTCAAATGACATTATATTTAATGAACAGACAAGTAAAATTGAAAATCATTTTCCTAGCTTTCCAGTGAAATTTCATTATCATTAAGTGTGTAATAAAAAGAGTATCTACTTAACTAAGTTTGTGAGTGCATTTTGAGTATTTTGTACCAATCTCCACTTTATATCAGATATGGAAAATAACAAAGAAATATTGTATTTTTTTTGTACAAGGGTTCCCAAAATGAGGAAGTTAAAAATGAAGGAAAAAAAAAGATGATGATTAAGATGAACTTTGGAGACTTTCACACTCCCTTAAACCCTGTGTACCTTACTTAAGTGTCTAATGTGTAAGATCTGCTTTCATGAGAAGAATGACCTTATCATTTATAATTTCTATAGCCAAGTTGGTAATTAAAGCTAGTTTTATTAACTGTGCATAAAGTTCATAAGTTCACATACTATCTTGCTCATTCAGGCTGATATAATAAAATGCCATATACTACTTAAGTTATAAACAACAGAAACTAATTTCTTGAAGTTCTGTTAGCTAGAAAGTCCATAATCAAGGCAACAGTAGATTCAGTAATCAGTAAGGGCTTGTTTCCCAATAGAAAGATAGCACCCTCTCACTGTGTCCACACATGGAGGAAATGCCAAGATAGCTCTCTGGGGTTTCTTTTGTAAGAGCACTAATAAAAGCCACCATTCATACAGGTTCCACTCCTGTGAACTAATCACCTCTCAATGGCTCCATCTTCAAGTTATCAGCACTTTGGGAATTAGGATTTCAACATATGAATTGGGGCAGGACACAAACTTGCTATGTCCATAGCACATACTGAATGAAGGATTAAATTTTCCTTTCCCTCTTTACTAACATCTTTTTTTTTAAATAATCTGAGGTGTCTTCTAATATGACCATTTTTAAAAATATTTACTTTCTAGTTATAAGTGTATACACTGTCTTTATTTTACTTTATGTGGTGCTTAGGATTGAACCCAGTGTCTCACACATGCTAGGCAAGCCCTCTACCTCTGAGTCACAACTCCAGCCCCTAATATGACCATTTTGTCCTTGAACCTTTCCCTCCTCACTTTCTTCTTTCTACTTTCAGTCTAATGGACAAGTACAGGCACATGCAACACTTAGAGATGGTTGAACAAATTCACATCCAATAGTCATTTAGAGAGAACAATCTTTACTGTGAATTTCAATAAAAAATGTACAAAATGTTCTAATTTTACTATCTAAGTAGTCAGATACTGGCAAGGTCTTTAACATATAGAGACTAGGTATTGCAAAATTGCTGCTCATTTGACCATTATATGCACTATATTCTCAGCAAAACAAAATGACCAAAAATACATAAAACTGATGTTTGAAAATGTCCATGTATGAACACACTAACATATTTTGCAATTGTTTCTTCCCACCTCCTCCATATCACTGAACAAGTACAGACAGTATTATACTATTAAACCACAGAGGTGGTTTAATAGTTCCATTCCCAAAAGACTATTTCATATGAATTTTAGTAAAAAAAAATATTTACACAGTAGCATTTTAGTACTTTTTCATTGGGCACTTCTAAACATGTAGACAGACTAGAATTTTCAAAGAAGGACTCAATTTGTCCACTATGTACATGACAGTCTGGAATAAACTGCACAAATGTAACAATAGTTCTAATTTGAAAATGTCTTCAAAATATGAGCTTATAGCCCTGACAAACTCTTTAACATCTAGATTAGGACTCATTTGTCTTTTATATATACTGTGTACACAGCAAGGTAAAACAAAACCCATAGAAATAAGATACAACTCTTAGCTCATGGTAAGCACACTGGTACAGTGCTCCCAAGGACCAGCACATAACTCTGTAATAGTCAACGGGTGATTTGGCTATTCACCCCCCAAACATTTCATAAGAATTTTTTTTTTATTATTGGTTGTTCAAAACATTACATAGTTCTTTTTTTTTATTGGTTGTTCAAAACATTACAAAGCTCTTGACATATCATATTTCATACATTTGATTCAGGTGGGTTTTGAACTCCCAATTTTACCCCAAATACAGATTGCAGAATCACGTCGGTTACACATCTACATTTTTACATAATGCCCTATTAGTAACTGTTGTATTCTGCTACCTTTCCTATCCTCTACTATCTCCCCTCCCCTCCCCTCCCATCTTCTCTCTCTACCCCATCTACTGTAATTCATTTCTCTCCTTGTTTATTTTCCCATTCCCCTCACAACCTCTTATATGTAATTTTGTATAACAATGAGGATCTCCCTCCATTACCATACAATTTCCCTTTTCTCTCCCTTTCCCTCCTACCTCATGTATCTGTTTAATGTTATTCTTTTCTTCCTGCTCTTCCTCCCTGCTTTGTTCTTAGTTGCT